TGGGCTACATAGTAACTGTCTCTAAAAAAAAAAAAAAAAAAGAAAGAAAAGAAAGTCAAAATGTTTATTGTATTCACTATCCTTGATACTTATCCAGATCATTCTATCACCAGCATCAGGTATGCTGAAATGGATAATAGTTATTAATTACCAGGTGTGGTAGTGCACACCTGTAATCCCAGTACTCTGGGAGGCTGAGGCAGAAGGACAGCAAGTTTGAGCCTGGACAATTTAGCAACATGGCAAGACCCTATCTCAAATATTTTTAAAAAGGGGGTTGGGGATGTAGCTCAGTGTGAAGGCCTTGGGTTCAGTGTCTAGTAGTACAAAAAAAAAACTATTACTATTTAATAAATCTCTTAGTATTAAACAGCTTTTTAAAACTGTACCATGGTATGTGTTTTATTTTTGTAGAGTGACAATCGAATGGTTGTGAAAAGGATATTTTCAAAAGCTATTGTTGACAATAAAAATTTATCCAAAGGCAAAACTGATCTTCTGGTACTCTTTTTGATGGATCATCAAAAAGATGTTTTTAAGGTAAAATTCTGATAGTACTTAAATTGAGCTTATTTTTTATTCAATCATTTATGTGGATTAAAATATATTTGAATAATGTCCTCTGTCCCTTCTTTTTCTTAAGATTCCTGGAACTCTACATAAAATTGTTAGTGTTAAGCTTTTGGCAATACAGGAAGGAAAAGATCCAAATAAAGACACAGGTAATTTGAGAAATACTATTTCCATGATCCTCTAAAGACAAATTCTTATTGTTTATTTGAAGTTGTTTTGCTGTAGTTAATTTAAAGTAAATTATAAAGATTCTCTTCAGAAGTTATCCAGTTTTAGCAGAGAGCCTCTTGTTTAAAAAGGCAACTTGAGCCAGGTGTGGTTGATGCCTGTGATGTCTATAATCCCAGTACTCTGGGAGACTGAGGCGAGAGGATTGCTGGTAGTTCAAGGCCAGCCTGGAGTATATAAGGAAACCCTGTCTCAAAAAACAAAACAATGACAACAAAAAATGTGACCAGGTTCAGTCAGTGCTTTTCTTCTTCAGAACATTTACTAAATGGGGAACATAAATATAAAACTACTGTATCACTTGATTTTTACAGTTAAATCTGAGGAATGAGAGAGGTAGTGGAAAGGAACGAGATTTAAAATGAATTAAGCTGTGGTGTAGTGGTACATGCCTATAGTCCCAGCACTCAAGAGGCCGAGGCAGGAGGATTGCCATGAGTTCAAGGCCAGCCTGTCTCAAAAAAAAAAAGTATACCAATAACACTTAAAATAAATATGAGGAATATAGTCACTAACTGAACTTTTCCCCTTTTTAAGGATATATTTACTGCCAGAGAATCGATCCAAGTGTCTATTCCAGCAGTACACTGAAGAAAACCAAAGATGAACTATTGAATTTACTAAAAGCTATTGATGAGGATTCAAAACTATCTGCCAAAGAGAAGAAGAAATTGCTACATCAGTTCTATAAGTGTCACCCAAATATCTATATTGAGTATTTTGGAGACTGAATTTCTAATGTCTGTATATAAGTTTTGTGTTTTAAGAACAAATTATGTATTCCCAAGATCCGATCACATTTGGAAGTTCTAAATATGAGACTGTACTTAATAAAAAGTTTTTTTATAACCTTGTTTGACAGAAACTGAGTAGTAGTGAGATAGTGTATTGCCAGGAAGTACTAATCTCTCTTAGGTGAATTGATTTGTAGTTATAGTTTGTAGGGCTCAACCTTATAGGGATTTAGATGATTTGACTTGTAGTATTTATACAGTAAGCTATTTAACAGTAAGGAGGGCTACCATTACATATTAATAGGATTATGGTTTATATTTTTAAGAGGTAGTGCTTGCTTTGGCAGCACATATACTAATACAGAGAAGATTAACATGGCCCTTGTGCAAGGATGCCATGCAAATTTGTGAAGCGTTCTATATGTTTTTGAGAACTACCTGTTCCACATATATTTTTAGAGCTATTTCTTAATTATACATGCAAAATAGGAATTTAGGCTATGATAAAATGAATTACCGCAAATTATAGACAAGTCAGAAATCAGACCATCCTAATGTTTCTGAAAACTTCAACACACTTCCAAGTTTATTATGGGAGATCTCAAACATATACAAAACCTATGGCTACCCATCAACCAATTTCAACAATTGCCAACTTATGGGCAATCTTTCAACTGTCTCTGCCCATTCGATGGGTCCACCCCAGGACATTTCAGATATCCTATCTCTTCATGTATAAAATTTCAGTATGTGTGACCAAAAGAGGACATTAAGAACAACTACAGCTGAGAATGGTGGTGTGTCTGTAATCTCAGCATTCAGGAGGCGGAGGCAAATAGACAGCTGCAAGTTCAAGGCCAGTCTGGGCTACACAGTAAGCTCAAGGCCAGGCTGAACTGTATAGGGAGACCCTGTCTCAAACAAAAAATCGTAACCACAGTATTATCATTCATAAGTCCTATAATCCCTCAATATCAAGTATGCAGTTAATGCTCAAACTTTCTGATCTCAAATGATTTTTGATAGTTTGTTCAAATATGGATCCAAACAGTATCCATAAATTGTAATTGATTAATGTGCTTCTTAAGTCTCTTTAATCTTTTGGTACTTCTCTTTTGTTTTCTTTTTTGCAGGGGCGGGCAGGGTCTTTCTTTGCATTTCAGCCTGGCCTTGAACTCAAGGTGATCCCCCTGTCTCAGCTTCCCAAGTGCTGGGATAACAGGCATGTGTCACCATGCTGGTTTTTCTCTTTCTTCTCCGTGTTTTTCCTTTTTTGCCTATTTTTTAGTAAATCTGGTCATTTGTTCTGTTTCCCACAGTCTGGATTGCTGACTGTAAGCCTAGACTGTCCTTTATCATGTCCCTAACCCAAATCCAACATCAAACCCTAAACTGAAACCTAACCCTATTCACTAACTCTAACTCTAATACTCACCCAGAAGGTTACCCTAACCCTAAAACTAATGCAAAACCTAACCTTAACCCTTACAAGAGGCATCATGGTGGGTAAAATACACGCTGACCATGGTTTTCTCATGCAAATATGTACATTACCCTAATTGCAGCCAGTTGTGCTACAGGTTCCTTTATCATGTCCTTTATCCTCGTACATTAATAAAGTTTTTTTTTAAACTTGTAACATAATAATTATTTCAGAACTACTGCGCTGTCAAGACATATTTAGTAACTAGGAAAGCATTCTAACACAATGTGAAATACAATTTGAAGTTTTTCATCCCTAACCTTTTGGTTATACCATGAGGCTGAATTTTATATTTTAACTAATATATATATATATATATACATACATATATATATTTTTTTTTGTACCAGGAATCAAACTCAGGACCTTGCACTTGCAAGGCAGGCAGATGTACCACTGAGCTAAATCCCTGGCCCTTCCCGTAGATTTTTTAATTAATTTATTGGTACATTTAAAGTATACAATGTTAGTGACATCCATCATTGGAAATTTGCACCTTTACATAATCCATCTTGGTTCTTATTTTTTCCCCATTTCCCTGCCCTCTCTTCAACCCCTCCATGACGCCCCATCTACAAAGACTATTTCCATTTTTCCTTTTTCTCATGTTAATTCCATTCCCATCTTTTCCCCTACCACTCCCATTTCTCCTACTGCTTTGCACCTTTTCTTCCTATTTCAAATTCTTACTGTGGATTTTTGATGAGAAGTAAGGGAAAACTTAAATGACACACTAACATGGTGACATTATCAGTAATTTTTGTTTCCTAATATAACTGATACTGGCTAGTCTTCAAGTGGAAGAAGGTCGAGGGCTAATATCTGTAATAGCTATAATACCAACTCACCAAAAGCAGGGAAAGGTAAAGAAGAGGGGGCAGCTTTCTTTACAAAGAGGAAAGATAATTCATGGCTTATGTGTGAGAGGAAGTTTTCAGAAACAAGCTATTAAAACTGGAGAGACAAAATAGTTGGCAGAGCAACTCTGCTGATTTACAATCTTTATTTTGCACATAATTAAGAAGCATGATTATTTGGCAACCAAAACTAACACCTTGAGGGGAAGGCACAACTAACTGTTTAACGATGTACACCCTCCTGGAAGCAGCTACATTGAAATAGAATGACAGTTTCATGGGAAACATACCACATGTATTAGTTGGTAAGTGGTGTGAGGGTGCTCATCATTTTCAGTAGTGCTTGAAAGCAATAAATTTACCCATCAGGTTTGTGCCAGTTATTTAAACAAGTTTTTTAAGTTACATGTACCTTTATTTTAAGGCATGCATCATTCATACTCAGTTTTAACGCATTTTTAAAAAGGCGATCAGTTAATCACTTGCCTTTTGTCTTTTAAAATAGGGCACAACAACTATTTGTATTTGTAGGGTTTTTTGTTTTTATTTTGTGGTTTTTTTTACTGCTGCAGACCGAAAAAGTAGTTTTCTTGAAGCAGCAACTCAAGTCAAACCTGACGATAGCTACAGTCCTAGACCTAAGCATATGAGTCTCTAAAATGGGTTTAGCGTATCTCGAGAAAATGATCTTCTTTTCTGGAACAGACAAAACATAAAATGCCCTCAGTGTTCACGGTGCTTAGAAATGAGCTGCACAGAGCAGAGCTCTCAAGGAAACCGTTTACACACACACACACACCCCTTTGCCTCCATCTTTCCAGAGCTGACAGTCTTCCCACAGACATCTCACAGCAGCCAAGAGAAGTACCATAATGACTCTTGGAAACTAACCCGAGTGCCATCGCAACCTCGCTGTGTGGGTGGTGGGCGTGACATTGATAACAGCCAAAATGAGGGAAGAGGAATAAATTTTGTGTAGATACAAAGATGATGGCATAATTTTCAAAATCTGGGCGGGAAAGGTTTGAAATGTGATTGCTCCTTTTCTTTTCCTTTCCTTAAATGACTCCACGCGTTTTTTCCTCACTTTCCGGTCGCATGCGCCGGCAATAGCTTGGTGTCCTGCCCCAGGTCCTCTTTTCCGTACGAAAACATGGCGCTTCCCTGCTCCCAGAGGGCGACTCCTGGCCGCGAGCCACTGCCCAGTGAGTCCCCTCAGCCAGCACCTGGCCACGCCCACTTTCATACGGAAACATGGCGCTGCCCAGCTCCCGCGTCACCGTTCACTTCGGCAGGCTGGGGACTGAGCCTTGCGACGCTCCGTACTAAAACATGGCGCTGCCCTAGATTGGTTAAGCACCTCCAGACTAAAATCAGTCTACCAGTTCCCGACGCTGAAGAACAGTCACGGTGACCGCTGCTCACCCGAGCAGGACAGTGACCGCTTGCAGAGAGACAGGGGATGAGGCGTCCGAAGGACAGCAGCTGAACTGCTCTGCTCGCCGCGCATTGCTTCTGTCTAAGCCCCGGCGCCCGTCCCGCCTGAGGCGGCGGGAGCGGTAGGAGGGACTACGCCGACTCCGCGGCAGGTGAGCAGTGCTCCCGAGGCCCTAGGTTGGACGCGCTGCTGTTTCTTCGCCTTTTCCCGCCGGGCGGGGCCCCAGTGATGTCTTGGGGAGATGAGGAAGAGGCTGGGACCGCGGGCGGGGTGAGGCCTCTTGGCGCGCCCCGTTGGGCTTGCATCACTTGCTCCGGCCCTGCCACTCCCTCTCTGGCCCAAACTGTTGTTTACAACGGAATGCAGATCCCAGGAGTTGGGGACACTGAGCGCCAGAGTAAGCGATTCTTGGCGTCCCTGGACAGACCCCATGCGGTTGCTGACAGACCCTCTCTGCTCGGGTGAGGAGGTTCTGGTGTGGGTCGTCGCGGAAGTGCGTGGATCCCCTACCCTGGCACGGTAGGGGTTGGTACTTGTTGAATGAATGAGAGTACTGAGAGCAATTAAATGGCTCCTGGGTGCGTCCTATATCCCTTTCATTATCGTTGCCTGTGATAGAAAGCTTGTATGTCAGCCAGTTAGACACAGCCCGCCTTTACTCTTCCCCCATAGGAGGAGGGAGGTAGCTCCATTTTATAGAGGAGAAAAACTGAAGTCACGCAAGTAACAAAGAGCCAGAATTGGACCCCAGACCAACTCCCAGCATGCCTAAATGCAGTGACATCACAGAGATGACACAGGAATTCACCTCTGTCAATAAAACAGTATCTGTTTAGGGGCTGCAGTTATACACATGGAGCATATGTGAGGGTGTGGTTGGTCTCGGCTCTTAAGACGCTCAATATCTAGGTGAATAATAATAATAATAATAATAATAATAATAATAATAATACCAATTCTAGGTGTAGTTGTGCATGTCTGTAACCCCAGCTCGCCAGCACTTGGGGAGACTGAGGCAGGAGGACTGCAAGTTGGAGCCCAGTCTGAGCAATTTAGTCACATAGTGAGACCCTGTCTCAAAAAGGGAGGACGTAGCTTGGTGTGGAGGCCTAGGGTTCATTTCTCAGTACTAAACACAACAAGGAAATAGCACTTTTTTTTGTCAGACCTAACCATCTTTCCATCATCCTACCTGCCACTTTTCTCATGTTCACATGCCTTGGCTTCTGCCCTCTCTGGATGGAAATGCTCCTCTTTTCACCTTCCTTACCCCTCCAGATATTTTATAACTGGTGAAATTCTACTTTCAAAGGTCCGCTCAGCCAGATGTGATGGCACATGCTTGTAGTCCTTACACTCAGGAGGCTGAGGCAGGATAATTGCTGAGAGTTTGAGGCCAGCCTGGGCTACATATTGAGTTTGAGACCTGCCTGAACTGCATAGTGGGGGGGGGGGAAGCAGAAAAGAAAAGAAATCACACATAAAATTTCAGCTCAAATGTCATCTTTCCTGGGAATGTTTTTCTAACCACCTCCTGGGTAGAATTAATTTCTGCTTCTGCTAATGAGACTAGCAATTTCATAGTGCTACTAAGGCTTGAGTTTCATTATGGTACCCTGTAAGCCTACCTGTCTCTTCTCTAGACTATGTATTTCATCTTTCTATTCCTGTTTAAGTTTTTATCATTATTACTAGGGTTTTTTGAGGACAGAATCTTCCCCAGTCTGGGCTGGCTGGGAACTCACAGAAATCCCCCTTCCTCAGCCTCCAGAGTACTGGGATTACAGGCCTGGGACACCACGCCCAGCTATTATTAGGTTTTTTTGAGACAGGGTCCTGCTGTGTGGTTCAGGCTGGCCTTGAAGTCACTATGTAGCTCAAGCTGGCCTCCAACAGGCAGCTATCCACCTGCCTGGGCTGCCCGAGTTCTGAGATTACAGGCGAGCTCCACCACTCCAGGCCTTAGTTAAGCTTCTTTTGAATTGAAGGAAGTGATGAATGCCAGATGTCTAGCAGCAGCCCTGCAGGAGTTGGAGAAAAGTGCAGACACTAATGAGGTTGGAGGAATGTCCTGGAAGGAGATAGGACTTCTGAAGCCTAAAAGAAAGGGGTTGGCTTAGGAAGCTGAGGATTAGAGACAGGTATCTTTTCTACTAACTGCTCAGAATGAATTACTTCATCTTTTCTGTGGCCCTGATTCTCAGCTTGTGAGGAAGATAAAATTAGAAGTGTTTTGTTTTTCCTTTCTCATATAGTATGCTGGTAATTTTACTGTTTGGGTCTTGGAGCATTTCCAGACCCTAATAGGATTTGGGGCAGTGAGAAGATGGATGTTGGAAGGTAAAATTGGATTAGATGGGGAGATACATTAAAACAAACTTCATATTAATAATACATTTCCATTTTTTAAAAATCTCATTTCTAGTCACTCATTCTATTTAATGGAGGTCTTGGAAATTTCACAGAACTGTGTCAAGTGGTACTTCTCTAATTGTTCAGGAGTCTGCCAAACCTCTTTAAAGCAGTTGACATTTCTCTTGATCCCTTGATGTCCTTCCAGATGTGTAATGTAGTGTAATTATGTTTATGGCAATGCTTTATGATCAAGTGCTAATGGTATAAATGTTAATTATTTTCAGTATTGTAAATGCAGAAATATGGTGTCTGTCTTCTTCCTTAATCAGAAACACCCTAGTGGAAAAAATAAAAAAAACCACCCTAGGAATAGAGAACCCTAGGGAAAAACTTCAAAACTTGGTTGTAATTAAGCGTCCTTTATGAACAGGCCCAAACCAAGGTGTCCAGTGATATTCTATTCTAACCAACAACTAATAAAACGAAACCTTGCCTCATCACACACATTATGGTTGTTTGCAACTTCCTGCTTTACTCATGATCTTTTTCTACTGACTGGCAGTGACTTAATAAAAATCTTTGCCTCACACATTTCTCTTAAACACTTAAGAGTGTTACCTCTATTTGCATCGGTAGGTATTTTTCCGTTAGGATCAGGGAACCAACTCCTGAGTCCTTTGTATTCACTTGGAAGCATTTTCTTCCTGGGCTTAGTAGCACCTCTGGGTGGGTGGGGAACTTAGGTACTCCCACTCCTTAGGAGGCTGAAGCAGGAGAGTTACATGTTGGAGACCAGCTGAGGCAATGTGTACAAGGTCCTGGATTCAATCCTCAGTACTGCTAAAAAACGAACAAACAAAAAATTATTTGCAAGAAATTCTCCTATCATTTCTCAAGGATGAAAGTAAAGAATTTAAGATCGAATTGCTTCTTTTGATTAAAACAGAAATCAAGTGGTTTAAGTGTTATTGTCTATTTTGAGACCCTCGTCTGATATGGTATTCATGAGGGGAATAAAAATATTCCTACATATTACAGTAAGGTCTATAAATCTGATAAATTATAAGTGCCACTTTATAAGTGTCTGTTTAATCTTTTATTTTAGAGACAGGATCTTGCTCTGTAGTGTAGGCTGGCTTTGAATTCACTGGGTAGCCCAGATTGGCCTCCAACTAGCAGAAGTCCTCCTGCCTCAGCCTCCCAACTGCTGGGATTCCAGGCTTGCACCACCATGCCCAACTCAGTAATCCATTTAATCACTGAAGTAGAATATTATAGCTGGATAAGATCCTGGCAAGTTCTTTTATTTTGCAGAGGAGAAAACTGAAACCCAAAGAGATTAATGATTTGCCTAGAATCACAATGCTAGTTAGTGACAGAGCTAGAACACTTTTGGCTCATTTTTTTTTCTTTCCTAGGAAAGTGAATAAACCTAATTAAGAATGTCTGAAAACCTTGACAAGTCCAGTATAAATGAGTCAAATGATTCTGAGCAGGGCCTGGAAAGTGCTGTGGAACATTCTGATGAAGCTTTACAGAAAAATATAAAATCAGACTCTCCTAGCCCCCAGAGGATACAAAGGCCTCACTGTAAGTAAACTTGACTTTGGTTAGAAGCAATATTATTGTTTTCAGATATTTTTTTTCTGTTTCCTTGTGCATGTGGCCCCGAGGTGGTCTGTCTGTCTGTCTGTCTATCTTTCATTCTTTCAAGGAAGAGAGGTTTATTTTGGCTCATGCCTAATTTATTTTCTTTCTTTCTGTTTTTGGGGTCCCAGGGAACTCAGAAGCTTACTTCTTGGCACTTTTGCCGAGCAAGTAAGTACAGAACTACTGAGCTAAATCCCCGGCCCTACTCATGCCTAATTTCTGATAATGTCAGAACATTGCCAATAACTAGCATTTATGAATGGCAGCAGTTTCTCAACTGATAGCCTAGTTACTTGTGAGTTTTCAATTGCATGAGAAAATTAAAATTTTTAAATACTGTAATATTCAGAACGTTCCTGTCTTTCTACCAGCATCGAGGGCATTTTAGTTTCTCTAAAGTACTCTGAAAAACAGGAAGGTGGAGTGCAAATTACTACACTTCTAACTCAGAGTATTTAAAAAGTCTGAGGCTGATTCTAGCCAAGATGGGACTTGTGCAGGTTAAAGAAAAAAATAAGTGAGTTCACCACACCCTAAAACTAAGCCTAGAGGCTTAGTTCCCTCGATGAAAAGATTTAAGGGCTGGGGATTTAGCTCAGTGGTGATGCCCGCTGCCTGCCTCATGAGGTCCAGAGTTTTACCCGGTAC